GTCCCATTTCCCCCCACACCCTCATAACATGTATTTTTCCAAGAAGACCAGAGCATTCAACTGGAGGGGTGAACAAGGTGGACAGGAGTGAATTATCTTATGGCCAGAGCCAGAATCAGGAAGTGGGGGTGCAGCCATATCACAGATGTCAAGGATGCACCATGTGTAACGTCTCCCTTGAAGATAGTGCAGTCTTGCTCATCCAGGTGTTAAAATAAGGTGCAATCCCTAGGGATCCTTCATACCAGTGACCCTGTATGCAGCAGGATACCTGGCACTGTTTAATTAATGTGCAGCCATAAGTTAGAGTCCTGCCATGGGATAGAGACCCTGAGGAGTGGGGACCAGCAGTTGGTGTAATGGTTATGTCTCTGGACTCCCATGTAGTCAATCATGGTTCGAGTCCCAGACCCGGTGGCTTAAACTCATGGTGTGTGTGTGTGTGCGCGTGCACGTACACGCCCAAGATCCCAAAAGGAGAATGGAGGAGAAGGGATTGCAGTATGGCTATTCCCCCTGGGGGGTGATTTCTTGCTTTCTGTCTCTCTTTCTCTGTCTGTCTTTCTGGCGAGCACACGCACCCTATAGCAAAAATACAAAACAAAAACCAACTCTCCAAAAAAAAACCCACAACACACCTTGAGGAGTGTGGGGGACTGGGCTCAAGCTAATAGCAGCCTTTGGAACAGGAGTAGGACTGAACCTCCTTTATGATGTTTGCTGAGACCATAATTGACAGCTTTAGTGTACTTAACAAAAGGAAGAGTGGCTGGCTCCATCAGAGAGGGAGGAGTTCTCTTTCCCATGGATTTAAGTTTCCACACCAAGGGATAGAGCATGTTTGTGCTAATAATGGGGTGGTGACAGGAATGGATGCCCAGAGCTAGCTCTTAACTGGTCTCTCCCCTTTCTTCAGTTCCTGCTACAGATAAATGATAAATCTGTTGCTGGCTCTTTCAGATACAGTTTATGGACTTTGAGGCCAGGGTGGAGCACTGGAGCTAGGACAGTTTTCCTAGAGTTACCCACCCATTCACTCCTCCCCTCCTCCAGTGCCATCTTAGCACTTACTGGCTTATAGGGAAGCTAACCCTTAAGCCATGGAAAGTTAGCATTTCTGGGCAGGCATTCATGAGAAAGGTGGGCTCACACTTCTTGGTACCTTCCCTCTGCAATCACCTTCCAGCCTATTGGACTCCTGAGTCAGACCCCAGTCTTGCCTTTCTTTTTTCTCACTCTTGCTGACATCTCTTAATTGCCTAGTGATACTAAATTCTTATTGATGTCCAAGAATCCTGTTGCTGGAGAGTAGGACTGCTGCTAGACTGCAGAAAAAACATGACTTTGCTGCCTCTAAGTCCCCCATTTTGTTCTTTGAACGACTTCCTCTTTCTTCCTAGATATCCAGGACCACTTACCTACTACCTAGAACTGCTTCAGTTAGAAGTGAGTGAGTTGACCTTCTTCAAATATTTTTTCAATTTCTATTTTTAGCACAAAGCTGTGTGATTTTGGACAAGACAATGTCATTGTCTAGACCTCTTCAATTTCCTCCTGGATAAATATTCTTTCCTTCCTTCAAACATCTGTTGAATGTCTGTTTTGTGCCAGACACTGCCCTAGGTGATGAACAAAATAGACAAGGGTGCAGGGGGGACAGATGATAAATGGGTCAGTAAAGAGGTGGAATGTGGTCATTTCAGCTGATATTAAAGCTAGGCAGAAATTAAAACAAAGTACTGTAACAAATGGAAGGCTAGATGCCATTTAAATTTAGTGATCAGGGCGATTAGAAGCAAGGGAGTAGTATGATCTAAATTGTAAAAAGTTAGAAATGAGGACCAGTTCCTGTAGTACAGCAGTTAAGCTCTATTCATGGGGGTTGCATCTCACAGGGCAAACTGTGGTTGGAGTTCTAGCCTCAGTAGTTTGAAAAGTATGCTGCAGCCATGTGAATGCATGCCCCAAATACTGACTGGATAGAAAAATGGAGGAGAAGGATTGCTGTGTGACCACTCCCCATTTCAGGGTGCTTTCTCTCTGGTGAGTGCATGTACCCTCAGGCAATTAAAAAAAAAAAAAAAGTAAAAAGATCACTCGAGCTGCCAGAGGAAACTGGGGAGCCTCCAGAGTTGTAACCATCCAGGTAAGAAAAATGGTGGACTGGACCAGGATAGTCCAGTAGACCATCAAAAAGGAGGGGCTTAGAGGCAGCAGTAGACAAGCAATAGGACTGGGCGTCATCAGGAGCTGCTTCTGCACTTCTAACTAGTCTCCCATTCTCATAGCCACTGCCTAGACTGTTAAATATTCTGTCCCTCAAAAAAAATTCCCTTTTATTCCTTTGAGCACAGCCTCTTTGCCTATTTCCTCTCCTACCTGCCATCTCCACCTCGTAAAGCTATTGGGTCCATCACAGCTGATTCAGTCTTCTCCTTTTCTTAGACGGTTTAACTCCCACATGAGTAATCGAGACTAACTGCCTGGACTTCATGGTCCATTACTTTAGGGCTGCCTTCCCTAAAGTAATGGACCTTCCCACTTTAGCTTTAGTTCTACACCTTGACTTTTACCCTGAGCCAATCTTCTCTTTCCTAGGACTAGAGGAGATTGTGTTAAAAGCCAGAACACAAGGTTAGCTTGATCCATTAAATCTTCATGTTCTGGAAATTTACCTAAGCCTTCATTCCTCAGCCTTCTGTGTGCCCAGAGGATGTTCCATAGCACCTGTTTCTGGTCTTTTCCCCCTTCTCAAGGCCCTTCATCTTATCCTTGTGACCTCATTAGAGTTACCTTGCTTCCTGCACAACAGAGAAGACATAGGACCTCAACTTCTCTCTACTTCTTTCATGATAACTCTACATCTATATCTGCCTTGTCCTTTTCCCTTTCTTTCCCGGAGTCCTAGAATAAGAGGTGGTCCTTTTTTTATTTCTTTGTTCATTTATTTTTTAAAGGTTTTTGCCATAAGGCATGTGTGTTTGTCAGAGAAACAGAGGGAGACAGTGAGAGAGAAAGTGAGAAATCAACCTGCAGGGTGGATGGCCACATTGCAATCCCTTCTCCTGGGATTTCTTGCCCCCTCCCCCACCAGGTGTGATTCTGAAACCTCCAGGTCTGGGACTCAAACTGCGGTTGACCGTGTGACAGTCCAGCACTTTAACCACCATGCCACCTGCTGACTCTTCCTTTGTTTATTTTTCTTACCATTTTCAGTATCTTCATTACTAATTTCATCCAATTTAAATCAAAACCAAAGCATCACCACTGTTACTGTAACCTTACTGATTCTTCTAGATACTCATCTTCATTCATTTTGCTGCCAAAGTTCTAGAAAAGATAATATAAACATCTCACCACCACAAAATTGCTCTTTAACTCTAAGTCTGGTTTCCTTCCTATAATTGCTTGTACTTAGAAGACTACAAATGATCTCTTAAGTAAGACCTTTAATGATATGTTCTCTACCTTCTTGACTTCTCTGCTTCACTTGACGCTGCTATATGTCCTCTTTAAAATTTTGTATAAAAACATTTGAAAATCCCACTGTGACAACATGAAAGGAAATTTTGAAAGAAAACTTTCACCTACATTTCTAAACACCAGACAATTATTTTCATTTCCCATATTCCATGTTTTGTCAGTTTGTATATGTATATAGCATATATTTTAAATATGTATAATCTTAGTGTGCATATCTTTTAAATTCTGCTTTTAAAACTTTCTATTGTAAATATTCTATTTCGCTACAGCCTTTTGCACTTATAATTCAATGGTCATGTAAAATTACATCTACCAAATAGGTTATATTTTGACTATTCCCTTATTATTAGACTTTTAGGTAACTATTAGTTTTTCTGTGATTTGAACATCGTAATGTGAATGACTTTTTTCTTTATTGTAAATCTGCCTTTAGGATAAGTTCCCAGGAGTGGGATTCCCAGACCAAAGAGCATGAACATCTTTTTGGATTCTGATTTCCAAAATGACTGAACAAATTTTCAGCACCACAATGACATATGAGTGTTCCAGTTCCTTTGCAGCTCTAACTTTGGACTTCATAAATATTTCTGACTGGTTTAAAAATTAGTTTTTTAATTTAATTTCTTTGACTACTCATAAGATTGAATATTTTCCCATGTTTGCTACTTGCTTCCTTCCTCGATTGACATACTAGTAGTTATATATCTAATCTAAATTTATTCTTTATTTAATATACATATTAAACCTTTGTCATATTTTATATAAATAGTTATCCTATTTATTGTAATACTTTTAATTTTAGCCTTATTTTATCCTCTTAATTTGGAAATGCTCTTCTCTTTTTATCTCTTGGATTACTTCTTCTTTATGCTGGTGTTTCTTTTTCTTTACTCCCTAAATGAATAAAATTCCTGAGATCTGTCACAGAGAAAGCATCCTGGGATCATTTAAGGCTCTTCCCCTTTAAGACTGATTTTCTCTTGGAGAGAACATATATATACATTTCAGTTGACACATAGTCCTTGAGATTACTTCACATATTATATAAGGCCTGAGCATCCCTCTCACGTCACAGTGGAGGAAACATACCCAGAGATGACTTGTTAGAGCAGAGACTAGGTCCCAGGTATCCTGAATCCCAGAGATCCTTCCATTATATCCCACCAATTCACTCCTAGACCTGACCCTTCTCCCAAGCTCCATCTCTACATCTTCAGTTGCTGACTGGACAGTTTCACTTGAACCTTCCATTATTCCAGTCTAAGATGTCTAACACTAAATTCCCTGAACCAGTTCCCCTACCTGACTTTCTCCTTTCTGTTCATGGCATCTTCTTTTTTCAGGCTACCCAGGCCTGAAAACTCTCTCTGGAAACTTCGATTCTTGTCTTTTCCCATTTTGCCAAGTTCTGATATTTTTTTCTTCATCTTGCCAGTTACGATTGACCTTCTTTAATTATCTCAGTACTACCGTTTTTTTCTTTTTATAATTTGCTATAGGGTGCACGTGCTTGCTGGAGAGAGAGAGAGAGAGAGTGAGAGAGAGAGAGAGAGGCAACCTGAGGGGGTCTAACCACCACACAATCCTTTCTTTTTCATTCTTGGGATTTAGGGTACACGTGCTCACACAGCTGGCGTGTTTTTCAAGCCAGTGGGTCTGAGACTTGACCTGCACAGTTGGCCATGTGGGATCCATCTGCCTTAACCACCATAGCACCTGGTTAGCCCTCAGTACT